TACAGAGCTTAGTGTAAAACACAATTTCTCAGTTAGTGAAAGAAAAAGGGTTGTTTTTTTTTTTGTTTGGGTTTTTTTTAACTGTATTTTTTTGTCTTTTCTTTTTTGGTACTGGGGATCGAACCCAGGACGCTGCACTTGCTAGGCAAGCGCTTTGCCACTGAGCTACATCCCAGCCCGTGTGCCACTCTATGCACAGAAATATTGAGGGTATCTCAGTGGGACTGCCTAGCTACAGGGGCGGGTCCTCTCTGGGTATTCTGTCCAATCCGGTGCCTGGGTCCTAGCCCGGTCTTTCTACCACTCTTTCCCCCGCCCTCCCTTCCCCGGCCAGCCTACTACGCATGCGTGTACGCTAAGGTCCGCGCCTGTCCTTGCCCCGCCGCCCTGCAGGTGGCGCTGGCGACCACGCCGCCGCCGCCGCCGTTCTCCCGGTTGCGGCTCAGCTCCGAGTCCATGCTGAAGCTGGACTCGGGGCGGCTCTCGTTCTCCAGCAGCAGCTCCTCCTCCTCCTCGTCCTCCTCCTCGTCCTCCTCCTCGGGCTCGGCGCCCAGCGACGGGTCGCTCTCGTGCGGGTGGTGGTGGTGGTGGCGGAAGTCGCCGTCGGCCGCCTTGAGGCCCTCGGCCGCCAGCTCGCTGGTGCCCGGCTCCGGGGAGCTGGCGGCCGACAGCCCGTCGTCCGAGCGGCCGGCCAGCGAGCCGGCCTTGTGCATGTGCGTCTTCATGTGGCGCTTGAGCTTGCTGGCCTGCGAGCACGCGTGGTCGCACAGCTGGCACTTGTAGGGCTTCTCGCCCGTGTGGCTGCGCCGGTGCACGATGAGGTTGCTCTGGAACTTGAACGTCTTGCCGCAGAACTCGCACGACTTGCTCTTGGCGGGCGGCTGCGGCGGCGGCGTGCCGGCGCCCGGGGGCATGGCGGGCAGCGGCGGCGTGCTCAGGAACGGGGACTTGGGGCTGGGCTGGAAGGGGTTCAGGAGCCGGTGCATAGGGTTGCCGCGGCCCGGCGACACGGGCGGCGGCGTGGAGCTGTTGCCGGCCAGCTCGCGGAGCCGCCTGGAGAAGTCCATGGCCGGCGAGTCCATGGCCATGGGGTTGAGGCGCATGACTCGGTCGAAGGCACTGGGGTGCTGGGCGACGAGCCCCATCTCCTCGGCGCTCAGGCGGTGCGGGTCCAGGTGGTGGCGCGGCGGCGGGCTGAAGAGGGGCGGCGTGCCGGGCAGGCGGCCCTCCCCGAAGCCCGGGTGCTCCCGCAGGATGGGGCCCGTCATGCGCAGCAGGTTGAAGGGGTTGCTGTCGCCCAGGAAATTCATGAGCGGGGACTGGGCCACGGCCTCGGGCCCCAGGGGCGGCGGGATGGTGAGTCGTGGCGTGAGCGAGCTGCTGGCTGGCCCCGGCTCCAGGTAGATGCGGAAGCCGTGCGTGTTCTGCGCGTGCTGCAGCAGGAACCACGCGCTGTTGAAGGGCTGCTTGCAGGTTGTGCAAATGTAGCTGGAAGGCTCATCTTTACCTGGGGAGACACAGGAACAGAAAGGCAGACGGCCGTGTGAGAAGGGGCAGGACGATTGGGTGGGGGGGGGGGCGGAAAGAGAGGGCACCGGCTGGGTCACATGGGGCCCCTGGGGGCCTGGCTTCACCCCCACCCCCCTAAAGGTGTTCTGGTCCTCCTTGTCTCCGAGGGACAGGAGGTTCAGTGGCTGAGAATACCTGACCTGACCAATCCCTCTCCCCCCACACGCACACACCTAGTACCAGGAGTTATTAAAAGTAGAGACTCCATAAAACATAATCAGAGCAAACTTCATCCACATAGGGCGCCTTTCACACTCTAGCAGGCCCAGACCGGGTTCCTCAAACAAGGCACTGTTGCTGTTTAAACTTCCCATCATATGTGCTGGTGTGTGGATGGCTGTCCCCGGCATTGTAGACTCTAGGACATCCTGACTTCCAGTATTGAGGAAGGTGGGCCAAAATCACCATTCTCCTCCCCTCCGCTCCCTTTGGGACCAGTGTTTCTGGACCATACTTGATATAAGGGTGTTCCACAAATACCCAAATCAAGTCCTATTGTCCTAGCCTGGCACAGGTGGCTCACGCCTGTAATCCCAGATAAGCAGGAGGCTGAGGTCTAAGGATCACCTTCAAAGCCAGCGTGGGCAGACAAATCTGAAAGACTCCTATCTCCAATTAACCACCAAAAAAGTCAGAAGTGGAAGTATAGCTCAAGTGGTAGAGCATCAACCTTGAACAGAAAAGCTGAGACAAGAGTGTGAAACCTTGAGTTCAAGCTCAGTACCAGTACACAGATATACACACATTCATACACACCTGCATTGGCTTACAAGCATTGTGGATTTTTTTTTTTTAAAAAAAAAAACCTCATGAGATGATGTAAATGTATGTGTGTGCGTGCACGTGTGCGTGTGTGCATGCTACAGCTGGAGCTTGAACTCAAGGCCTGGTCGCTGTCCCTTAGCTTTTGCACTCAAGCCTGGAACTCAACTACTGGAGCCACAACTCCACTTCCAGTTTTTTGCTGGCTAACTGGAGGTAAAAGGTGTCACAACCTTACCTGCCTGGGCTGACTTCAAACCACGATCCTCAAATCTCAGCCTCCTGAGCAGCTAGGATGATAGGCACGAGCCACGGACACCTGGCTCCATTTTTCTTTTAGAGAAATCCTGTGATACCTCTGTATTTGAGAGTTTCACTACAGCAAAGTAAGGTTTCATACACCACACCTCCAGAACGTTGATACACGACCCAAGAAATTTAACACGTTGCAGAGACCCACTCTGTGTCTTCATACATGTCCCCCCATGGTGTGAAAACTGATCCTACAGACTTCCAACCAGGTGGGATATATTAGCTAAAGGAGAGCCTCGAAGTCCGGAATACAAATCAATGAAGGACAGTGGCCAAATGCAGCAGTACAGTCAAGATGAACGACTGAAAGCCCTGATTTGTCAGCAACTGGCACTGGTGACATCAGTAGCAAATTACAGCGGACATTGGTGGCACAGAGCCAAAATGTCACGGTCGTTGTCCATCATTGGGGCAGTCACAAAACGGAGGCCGAACCTTTCATCTCAAGCTGTCTGGCAGCTGCCCTCGACCTCGGGGCGAGGCCACTGCCCTGCCAGCCAGAGCTGTCCTAATGCTTTACCCAAGAGTGACAGGCGAGGACAGGCCCTGCCTTATGTCATCAGCTACAATAGGAACAGGAACCCAGACCAGACCTGGCACGGCTGTGCAAGCTGCAATCTTGGGGGGGGGGGACCTTCTGTTTTCTCAAACTTGCCTGTATCTGGAAGATTTTAAGGCGGACATGAACATTGTTAATAGTTGTTAGTAGTCTTGGATGAAGCCAAACATGCACACTGTCATGGCTCCCCATTACAATCAGTAAGGGACTATGGAGACATGGATACAGCTGTTCCACATCCTAGCTGCTCAGTCAGCCTGTTTAAAGTACTTCTGCAAGGCTAGGCATGGGTGGCTCACACTTGTGATCCTAGCTACTCAGGAGGCTGACATCTGAGGATTTGGGTTCAAAGCCAGCCCAGGCAGGAAAGTCCATGATACTCTTGTCTCCAATTAACCTGTAAAAAGCCAGAAGTGAAGGTATGGCTCAAGTGGTAGAACACCAGCCTTGAGCAGAAAAGTCAAGCAGGAGCTTGAGGCCCTGAGTTCAAGTCCAAGTAGAAGCACAAAAAGGTAAGAAGAAAATAAAGGACTTGTGCAATCCCAAGCAGAAAGTGTCTTTTCTCCACCCATTGAGAAGGGCTTCACCTTTTGTGATGTTTGCAGCCACATTAGTGGTCCTTTGTCACCTGCTTTAAAAATCACATGACCCAGGAACCATGCTCTCCCAACTCCACCCCCTGCTGCAGTCTACAGAGTATACCTCTCTCAGGTTTGCCTTGTCAGCTTCAACAGGGCCAGGACTGCTCAGATACCCCACGTACATGATTTCACCCAAAGGTGAATAGGGAATAGGGCAGAGATTCACCTGGACCACAGAGCCAAGAGGACTGGACACCTAGATATGCTTTTACAAGCCCAAGATTATTTATTTTACACACCACTGCCATCTGTATAATGAGTGGCATGGGAAGACAGTAAGTAAAGGGCAGAAAATCTCAAGGAAATCTAAGACAATTTTTTCCTTCCTTCCTTCCTTCCTTCCTTCCTTCCTTCCTTTACTGGGGTTTGAACTCAGGGCCTGGGCACTATCCCTAAGCATTTTACTCAAGGCTAGCCCTCTACCACGTAAGCCATGGCCCCACTTCCAGCTTTTTGGGTGGTTACCTGACTATACAAATCTCATGGACTTTCTTATATGGGCTGACTTAGAACCACAATCCTTAGATCTCAACCTCCTGAGTATTTAGGATTGCAGACATGAGCCACCAGGTCCCTGGCGAAGGCTGTTTACTTTCTGCGAGATATCAAGCAGTCCTGTCATCATAACGGGCAGTTTGGTCCTTCATACGGAAATGATGATTCTTCCCTATTTTGCCTCAAAAGATCCTGGAACCCCCATGGTGCTCACTTCTGGGCTTCCAGGTGCACCATGTCCTACCCGGCAAAGTGCTTGGGAAACCGAATGCCGTACCTCAAAGGGCTCACCGAAGGACGGACCAGAAGCATGTTTAGGCTGCTCCTCGCTTTTTGGGGGAGCAAGGCAGAATAAATAAGTAATAAGAAGATAAATGAAAGTCCTTTTTAGACACAAGGGCTAATAACACAAATGAAGAGCCACATCCTATGAAGTCATAGATTTTCAAGTTAAAGAGCATGTCTGCACCCTTGACCGGGCCCCAACCACTCTAATTAATCAACTTACGGCACACACAGCTGCCATGGCTCTTGGTAGATTTAAGTCAGAATGTGCCCAGCCCCCTCTCAGCTCTTTTTTTTTGGGGGGGAGGGGCGGGGAATCATGGGACCTGTACTCTGGGCCTGGGTGCTGTCCCTCAGCTCTTCAGCTCAAGGCTAGCGGCTCTACCACTTGAGCCACAGTGCCACTTCTGGCTTTTTCTGCTTATGTGGTGCTGAGGAATCAAACCCAGGGCCTCATGCATGCAAGGCAAGCTCTCTATCACTGAGCCACCTTCCCAGCCCCTTCCCAGCTCTTTTTATCATCTTTGTTTCCTTGGGTAGTTCTGAAGCATTTCTTGCTTCTGGATTTGGTGACCCACATTTTTTCTAAAAAAGTTCTAGGGCATTCAAAGGCAGATAGGGAGTAAAAAAATAAATGATTACTTTTTTTTTTTTAACTCCGAATGGCCACTGCTGGAAAGCATGTTACCCAGGTGTTCTGAAGCTCAGTCAATCCCACTTCTTGTTAAATACAAAGAAAGAAAGACAGATTTGGAGGAGCACACGTAAGATGCTCCCTGTCCGTAACTCATCATCCAGGAACTGGATGGAGGCCTGTATTTTATTCATTGAGTCAGACCACAGGACCCCTTGGCATTGCGAGTAAGAGTTGTCTTTACCTGAGCTCCTGAACTGCTCTGGGTGGAAGACCCCGTCCCAAGACTGGCACCATTCCAAACAGTCAATGGCCTGACAAGCTTCCCAGTTTTCAAATACCTCCCAGCTCTCAAAGGTCCTCCCCAGACAACTCTTTCCTCTTCCTTTATTTTTTTAAAGAAAACATTCATTTCCATATTATGGTTTCATAGCCATCTCCCACCTAGAAGGAACCCTGAACATGGGGTTGCTCAGTTTTAAGAACTAAAAAGCTAGGCTGCTAGTGGCTCACACCTATAATCCTAACTACAAGGAGCCTGAGATTGGAGCATCACACTTAGAAGCTATCCCAGGCAGAAAAGTCCATCGGACTCTGATCTGCAACTGTCCAGCAAAAAGTCAGAAGTAGAGCTATGGCTCAAGTGATAGACCATTAGCCTTGAGAGAAAAAGCTCAGAGAAAGCACTCAGGCCCTGGGTAAGCCCCAGGACCCACATGCACGGACACACACACACACACACACACACACACACCACTCAACAATGTCAGAGTCTTTGAAGAGCCACTTGGGACAATACTCGTAAGAAGCAGTGCAGTCACAGAGTGCTCATTGTACACAGTGGTCTTAGGGCTGGGCCAAATGTTGCCTTTATCCCCCTCCTCCAGTTCAGCAGTACAGGGGGGCTGCTTTGGGAGTGACCAGACCAGATCCACATACACCACAGAGCCACTGTGGCTGCTGAGATTCCAAGGATACGTTGAGGCCTAGATTATTTAGAAACAGTTTACCCAGAAGCATCCATCCTGGCCTAGAGACCCAGACATGTCAACTCTGTTTTGCTCACGAAATCACACTCAGAACTCAGAGTTGGCGCTTTCCTTGTCTGTTTCCTTCCTTCCTCTCTCAGATCTTTTTTTGTGTCAGTTGACAGAAACCCATGCTAGATCTTCTTTGCTTACTGGATCTACAGAGATCCCATGACATCTTCCTTCAAAATGACAAAGCTGCTCCGGCATGACTGGATGATC